GCGCAGAACCACAGTAACAGCGCGAACATGGAGGTGCGGTGCCAACTGAACCTCCCGCCCTCCCGAGAGGTGAAGGTGACGCTCACAGGAAGCCTTCAGCTCGCTGCTCTGCTCGCCGTGAGTTCCTCCCATCTGTCGTTTTCATAAAGCGAGACAAAGCTCAGGAAACAGGAAGTCCATCAAATTCCCGACTAACCAGAAACAGGCTCAGTTTAGTGAAACTCAGATTAGCCGCAGGAGAAAGCACAGGTGGCGCTCACTACCTGTTTAACTCTTTCAGGTGAAGTTCAGGTCTCTGGAGCTGCTGACCGCCGCCTCCATCCAGCTGGAAGCGTCTAGTCCCATTTTCCTCCAGGAGGACCGACCTGTCAGACAGGTGAGACCATCAGCATCGCTCTCCCATTGGAGGACAGAGGTCACTCTGGGATAAACAGGTTTAACCTCCCAACTCTTTGTGACTGAACCCAGTGGCCTTCTATCAGCTGACCACAACGTTCACGCCAACGTTTTAAATCACCTGATCATCAGCGCTTCACACACACAGAGCGGTGCTGCCACCTGCTGTCAGGAACTATTACACCCTTTTGCTTCACATTAAAAACACATTTCTGCAAAAATACTTAACAATTAATGAACCACGTGGAGTACGGAGGACCAAAGGTGCCAAAATGCAACGAATAAAATATAAAAAGAAACTAGTCCTTAATTATGTCGGAATCTAAATGAAGATAAAACCTTATTTCTGATATCATTTCCTTTTAATTGGTTCCTCTATTTACGTCCTGTGTAATTTCTCCAATAATGTACGTCTCTTTAATTTCCTATTTTTATTAATTTGGCGATTTTACATTTATTTACTTCTGCATATTTTTTCAAATGTATTTTCTTTATTGTATCTTGCTTCATTTTTGCATTTCTTCAAACATTTCTTTGTTACACATGAAGCAACGATCGTGTCTCTGAGTTTACATTTAAAAATGGTGGAAAAGGGAAGAAAACCTCAGAAACACCCGAACTCGTCATTTTCAGTCAACATTATTTAAGTTTGACTCCATATTTCTATGTTAAATTATACTCAGTGTTTAAGGACTTCATTAGACCGCCTGACATAAAAACAGAAATCTGTCAAACACTGGTTTCACACACACTCAGGTGTTTTGTGCTGTAACTGCAGATCATTCTGGACCTGAGGAAGGAGGAGGATCACTCCATCCCCATCTGGATCATAGTGGGAAGCTCACTGGGAGGTTTGCTGCTGCTGGCCTTACTGGTCCTCGCTCTGTGGAAGGTAAAAACACACACGGAGCCTCGAACATCATCAGAGTACTCCTCTGTTCTGAGCTCTGCTCTACAGTGGACGTCTGGATCAAACGGCTCTACTGTCCGTCACAAACCGTAAATCCTTGTTTTCTCTTCAGCTCGGCTTCTTTAACAGACGGAGAAGAAAGGAGGAAGAGGAGCAGCCTGTGGCCAATGGGAAGACGGCACAGGAGCTATAACGTGGCTGACATCACCGCCGCATCATTCCTCGCCGGCCTGCAAAGTCTTAAATTAATGTTCCCGATGAAATTTAACCTGAAAGACACTGAGAAAATCCGACGACCTCACATGGGTCACCTGAACGCATCACGTGCCTCCACCCGTCACTCAGGGACTGCGACCCTCACCTTAAACCCGCCTCTTCGTCCACGCGATGTGCGATTGAAGCTACCCACAGACTGTATATAAAAGACGGAGTCAGCATTAGAAACATCGAAGGGTTAGGATTCTTCAGCGTCGCCGACGTCTGCCTTTCATGTGAGAACTTCACAGGTGTGACGGAGGCCTCGTGACAACGGAGAGCGATGGAGTAAATATTTAAACGGAGGCTGACGGGGCAGAAAGAAAACTACCTACCATTCGTCTGATTTCATCTTCTTAAATTGTAAATATATCCTATTAATTCTTATATATTGTAGCTGATGCACTTTTGTTTAAAAGTCAAACTTGAACTTGTGTAAATATTCACATGTATGACGAATGAGGGCCGAGGCGTTACCGTCGAAGCGGTTTCCGCTCTGCCTGTTAATGTCAGAATAAAGACGAGAAATATAAAGGTCGTGTCCGTCTGTTCGCTCACGTTTACCTTCTTTGTCTGAAATTTGGACTCTTTAATAACCTGAAATGTTGAGATAACCCAAAGAGCTGAGATCATTCAAAATTTTCTTTAAATTTTCTGGATAAATCTCAAAAGTTTGAGTAAATATTTTACAAGTTTGAATCAGAGATCCTGAAATTTCAAGTTCCTCCCGAGTCTGTTTGTTGTACCCATCCATCCGTGTTCTTGTCACTTTGAGATAAATTGAAATTCTAAATTCAGAATCTCAAATTTGGACTTATTTAGACAAAAACTGAAATTTTGAGACGCCCAACTCAAACTTTGAAAAGCAACAGCCTTTACAGGGACGTGTAACTTGACCAGACACATTTATGGCAGTTATTATTATTATTATTATTATTATTATTTTTTTAACCAAGCTCAGTTTTTCAGATCTGACCAATCAGATCACTGCATTTTCTTACTCGTAGCTCAAACGCACGCCGCTACTGAATATAAAACTAGTAAAACAGTCACGTGTGACGCCCGACACACCGCTGGCTGCCGCTCCAGGTCGGTCTGCATCCTCAGGTGTGGTCCCGCCTCTCGGTGCTCGACTGAGTCCTGAAACACGGACCAATATGTTTTCACAAAACACACCCACACATCTGGAGGTTCTGATCCTTGAAATTTGGGATTGTGTCACGTTCTCCCGCACGTCGATGTGCAATGAAGTTCCGACTTAAACATTTGGAAATCTTATAAAGAAGCAGCTTGAAAGTTTGAAACACCCGACGTTTGAATGATTGCAGAATCGCTTCCAATAACTTTTTTCAGAAATTTACCTTACTCGTGGTTTGCATTTTCCCGCCGAGTGGCAGAAATAAGGCGGCCATCGCAGACACAAGGCTCCTGCTCAGACAGGCTGAAGAGCTCGGCGTTCAGCCGCTCTTCCTCCTCACGTTGAGGTGGTTGCTGGGAACCCCGCAGTCCTGAACCCGGACACTTTACTCATCTGAATTTTGGCAGTTTCAATTTCAAAGATGGAAAAGAAATCAACAACAGGACACAGCAGCTGAGCTCAGACAGAAGACTTTAATTTAACAGCATTCACCCCGCAGGAAGTACCCATCAGCTGACATCTCTTACGTTTTCCTGGCACACTGAGCATCTTTGGCTTCATCTCAGCCACAGAAACCTGCTTTTAATGAAAAAAAAGGTCCCACCAGGACACAAACACTCCTGCAATGATAGTTGTAAGAAATTAAAAATGAATTAAACAGAACGAGCTCTGTGGATGGCACAGACTAATGCCCTGTGAGCACATGGGTAATAAAAGCTGGAGTTTTATTAGGAGAGCAAACGCTCTCCAACACCTGATTACAGGACGCCAAACGGTGGACCAAGAAGAGCCTCGAGAAAGTTTCCACCATGATCGGCTTGTTAAACCTGATGTTTAACGGTCAATTGAGGTGCGAGCGCTCCCAAACAGAGTAAAACAACCCGAACGCTTGGCCGTCCTCCCAAGTGTTACAATAAAGTTAAACACAGGAGGAAACGTCAGCAGGAAACTTTTCTAAATCTCACATCATTCCCACCTCAGGTCTACATTTGAACATCGAATTATTGCAATAAACATGAGAGCAGGTGAGATTTGGCACCTGTGTGGAAAATAAGAGCGGGCCTCTGCTGGAGCATCCACAGCTTTGCTCTCAAACGTCTCATCCTCACTTTGGACCAAACAGGCTGGGCCTTAGCGAGCATCTAAAGCTCAACGACCTGAGCACAAATGCTAACGAACGTGACGTTTGGGTTAAAGGTGTTTATAAACTGACAGGCAGCTTCAGTAGGGGAGGGATGTGAGAAGAGTCGGACCTGCTCCCAGATAAAGAAAACGCCGCGGCGTCGATATTCAACATCCGGCAGGAATGCAAAAACGCCCGCGGAGCATTGATCAAAACCTTCATCCTCTAACGTCCCTCCTGGAGGATCCTGCTCCAGATCTGGAAAATTAATCCGCCGACTCCAGTCTCACACCGCTAAACGATAGCACCGAGTAAGATTACCATTTATTTCTCAACTACTCACTTTAACGACGCTCATATCAAAACTTAAAGCCAGAAACGGCCCATCAGACTGGCTGCGAGTCGGGATTATCCGGACGTTTTACTTAAAGGCACGCCTACGATGCAGAAATCTGAAACCTGCACTCAAAACTGATTTCTTTTGCTTGTTTGGTTTCAGATTCAGTTTTAAAATCTTTGATTCTTGCAGCGGGGCGTTCACCAACACGAGAGGCTTTCAACAAACGCCAAAACATTACAGTAAATGCCACGGGCGGTTCTGCAGATCCCCAACGCCTCGGTCAATTTTCAAGTCTGTGAGTGCGCAAGGGTGACGCAGATATGGTCATTAACGCCCAGGCGACGCCGCACCAGCTCCCCACGTGTCAGTCGGAAGGCCGCCGGCAGTCGAGTCCCCCGCCCCCGAAACGCTCGCAGCTTCCCAAGAGTCAGCGTGGAGAAACATCCATCACGGCGAGCTCGAGATGTGCTCGTTATCTAAACCGTAAGAGACCGACTGACGAGCCTTTTGTTGGCTCACTTTTCACATCCTGGTGTCAAAAGTTAGAATAAAATAAAACTTTGTCACGTTATGGCATCAAAGTGTAACTCCTGCTGATTTCTACAACAGCAGGAGAGACGTCGGTTTGAACACTTCAACTGAATCTGGGCTTCAAGACTCAGTTCGACCCTCGGCGGAGGCTTTTTGGCACGTACTTATCCATTAACTAAAAAAAAAACTAACTTTATTGGGACATAAAATCTGCATTCAGACAAATCTGATGAAACTCCGTGTAAAGGTCGGCTGTTTTCTTTCTAACACTAAACTTTGACATTTTTTATGCTGTTTCTTTTTAGAATTTCTCAGACAGTGAGAGAAAGTCAAAGCAGCTCATTTGCAGTTATTTTATCAGAAATCTCATTAAAAAAAACAACAAAAACAAAACCCGACACAGCTGATGAGAAAAAGGCTAAACGCTGCCCAAATAAATACCCACAACTATAAATAAAAGGGCGTGGAAGGATTCAGAGCAGGAGTGTCCGCACAGTTTCTTTAGAGCCAGAAGAAAAAGTTGAACTCAAACGTGATGAAGCAGACGTCTGAATTCAGCCTCGACCCGCCACAGTCAGGAACAACCCCGATAAAAACTTCTCTCCAATTAAAAAATAATCCTCTGCGCGGCGGCTGATTGGTGGTTGAGCTCGGTCGTCCGGCGGCGTCTCTTCAGGCACTCGTTCCTTCGGTCCGATCATTTCTTCTTACACAATCGTGGTGACGTGTCGGCAGCTTCCTGGCAGAGAGGTAAGGCAAAACAGGAAGCTGCCTGGCGCCGCCAAAAAGAAAAAAAGATTTTGTTTAATATAAAAATGCTCAAAAAACGATCTGAGCTGCCAACCTCAGCACCGTGTGAACTGTTAGAAAAACGTTTTTAAAAATCGTCCGGCGTCAGTGGAACTCCACGAACTCTTCGAGCGTTTTGGGGATCTGGTTGCGATACGTGATCTGGTGCTGCCGGACGGCGCGCGCCGCCAGGCACTTGAGGCTCATCTTCATCTGCGTCTTCAGCAGGATCTCGGACACGCCCGTCGTGCTCTTGTCCAGCGGCGTCTTGTTCTGCTTGTTGGTCATATCCGTGTGCGCGCCGGCCTCCACTAGGTTGATGATGATGGCGTGCAGCGTGAGGAAGTCGCTGATGGGCCGGTTGTACTGGACGATGACGTGCAGCGGCGTGTTGCCCTCGTTGTCGATGGCATTGACCTGCGCGCCGCAGTCGATCAGCAGCTTGGTGACCTGCGCGTTGGGGAAGCTGCACACATCGTTGGTGTGGAAGTCATCCACCGGTGTGGTGGAGCTGATGGCGAGGTGGAGCAGCGAGGCGCCCTCGCGTGACCGCGGATCTAGCTGGATCAGGTCGTAGATGTGCTTGTTGATGGCGGCGCGCTGCGCGTCGCTGCAGGTGGTTTTAGTGGAGATGCACGCCAGGTACAGGAAGGTGAAGACGTTGGACTCGTAATTCTCCATGGCCTGTGGCAGCTCGGATTCAGCGGCGGCCTCCACGCGAACCATGCTGCGCTGAATCTCCAGAACGCTGCAACTCAGCACCTGCTCGACAGCGGCGGCTGACACGTGCTCCTTCAGGTGGACCATCTGCGAGAACACCTGGGCAAAGCGCAGCAGGTCCTTGTGCGTGTTGCGGTTTCCTTTCTGCCGCAGGCGGAGGGCGTGCAGCCACAGCTTGATGCACTGTTCAAACTCCATGTTGTCAGCGTAGACGGCGCCACGGTAGATTATCGGATGCGACACGTCGATATTGTCCGAGCCCAGGATCCGCTCTCGGATCATCAGTCCCTCCATGTGCAGGGCGTCGCGGTCCACCCTGATGGCCTCCAGGTCCTGCAGCGTTTGACACTCGCGGCGCCCTCCGTAAGCCTCGACGGCCGGGAACAGTTCCTTGGTGATGATGTTGTCTGGATCGCGGTAGCGCTCCATCATGGCCGCGTGGAGGTAGTGGTACGTCCTCTGTATGTCGTAGTTCTCCCTGTCGTTGGCGAACGAGGCGCCCAGCAGCTCCAGGGCCTCGATGCGGCTGTGAGGGTCGCAGTCGGCGTGTGCCAGCAGCAGCTCCACCACGTCAGCCTTGCAGCTCTCCGCCGCCACTTTCAGCGGCGTCATGCCGTGCCCGTTCATCACCATGGACGCCTGGCATTGCATCAGCTCTTTGACAATGTCCAGATGTCCTGCCTCAGCCGCAAAGTGCAGCGCGGTGGCCCCGCAGTGGGCCTTGGCATTGGGGTCCGCCCCCTTCTCCAACAGGAACCTCACCACCTCCGTGTGGCCTTTGTAGGCGGCAATCATCAGACAGGTGTTGTTGAACTTGTTGGTGATGCTGATGTCGGCGTTGTGCTCCACCAGGTAGCGAACGATGTCCAGACGCCCGTCGAAGCAGGCGGCTCGCAGGGGGGTGGAGTTTGTGATGGTGGTGTGGTTGACGTTGGCGTGGTGACTCACCAGAAGACGCACCACCTCGAAGTGTCCTGCGCCGGCTGCACACCACAGCGCCGTGGCACCGTCGATGACGTAGCTGCAGGCCAGAGACAACAAACGTTAACGTGTCATCATCCTCCGGTTAAATGGTCACGATTCAAACAACAACGATAGTAACGACTACAAGAACAATAAAAACAGATTCAACTGTTGGTTGAATTGTACTTTTCAGGATTTCTGTCCTTCACCCATTCAGTGTTTTCTAAATGAAAGCCGTTTACGTAGAGCAGGTCTCAGTTTACCAAAACTCATGAAAACAGAACAATCTCAG